TTCAGCTATAATCTTGCCTTTTATATCTGACACATTATCTGTAGTGAAAAAGCATGTAAGAGTAGTAATGATATTGTAAGAAGCCTCTTGATTTTCTTGGTCATGTGACCCTTCATTTTGTTCAAATTCTTCAGATCATGATTGTTTTTGTTTCTCTTTATTAATGGGAGGGAGTATATAATCGATTCAAATATGTTGTCACTTTTAGGTTGGGCATGCATAGAGTTATTGGCGGTTTGTTTTAGAGTGGTAGTTTTGAGAAAAATGTTAGTAGAAGTAGTATCAATATCCATTTCTAAGGGTACGTCATTAGAGGGAATATTGTTGTCAGTTATTTATTCTAATAAAGGTTCTTTATTATTCGATAACATAATGTTTGTAATAATATTTCAATTTCTGGATTGATAGTGTCTTCGTTCGAAGGTGTAAAAGTTTTTTTTTTTTGGAAAATATTATTTTCATTTGTTTCAGTTATTTTTTGAAGAAGAGCTTGAAGTGTTGGAGTCAGTAACTGGGATATTTCATTTATTGTGTTGATAAGTTTTTTTCATTTGTTGTTTAGAAGAAATCACTCTAGTAACTGGCATAATTTTTATTTTTTTGTCAATTTTTTTTAGTAAACTAGACATTTGGGAGAAAAAGTTTTTTTTGATTTTGGATCATCCCATCTTGAGATATTTGCAATTGAATTTCGAAATCTGGACTCTTTTATTTAAAGTAGAATTTATTGATTCATAATTCGACTGATAATATAATTGCGATTATCTTGAGATTGGATGATCTAAAATCAATAAATGTTAGCTCATTGGATTCGTCTATTCACGAGGAATTGAATGGTAGTTAGTTCATATGAATCAGAGCGATATTGACCGAGATTGTACATCTTTTGTTTATTTTATTTTTTCTATATATAAAAAATCATGTGGTATGATATCATTTTGACCATTTCGACTTTTCATTTCCAATAGTGACCATTTTGACTATTTCGGATATCTGAAATGATCTATTTTGACTTTATATATAATAATAACTAAAAAAAAGATTATCCAAAAATTTTTCAAATTCTTTTGCTAATTTTTATCTACATATTAATATTAAATATTCATTATCAGTAATAAATACAATAGTTTTATTTATTAAGTTAAATTTGTTAAGTATATTATTAATTGAATTTTCATATTAATTCTATTATGATAAATTTAAAAGGAATAATGTCAAGAAGAAAATATTAAAGAATCCAATTCTGGTCAATATAATAAATTGTTAAACTAAGATATACTTTACTACTTAAAGTTAATTTTTATAATATTTATATATCTGCAGCAAAAGCTTCTTTTTCTGATATTTTATGTAAATTATATATTATATTAGAATAATGTTAATTAAGTTCTTAATTATTTATTTTTTGTATTTAATGACAATTAGGAATTTTATAATGTGAATCGAATTTATTTAACATTTTAATAAAATTTTTATTTTTAACAACCCAAAAGATTATTGGTCTACAATTATCTAAATAATTAATAGCTGATTTCATTCAAACTTTTCTTTGATTCTATACATTTAAAATTTAATGTAATTTTGTTTTTTGTTATTAACTTTTAAAATTATTATATTATGTTTCTTTAAAAATAGCATTCTATATTAGAATTTTCTGACTTTCTTAAAAATACATAATTACATCTTTTACATATAGACATATTTGAATTAGTTAAAGTTTTATAGTTAATATAGTTCTATAAAGAAGAAATTTATGTATATTTTATGAGTTTTGAGAGTTTTGTGAATCTTGTAAATTTCTTGTATCAAATATTATAGTTGTAGTTTCATTATATATTAAATCTTATAAATTATAAAAAGAAGTTTTAGCAACTTCTTCATTATTAATGTTAAACTGTCATTTAATAAATCAAAACTCATAGTAATAAGTATTATACTAAATAGTAAAATATTTTTTAAGAAAAATATTTGATATATTTTTTTTTTACATGAATATTTAATTAAAATTGATCAGCTAAATCTTTTTTAATGAATGATAATATATTAAATTTTAATTAATTAGGATTTAGTTTTTATTAAACCTAAAAAATTGGACTTAAAGATCTGCAGACTTGGTCTTAGGACTAAGTTTTTAGGTCTAGGACTTAAGACTTTACAAATCCTAATTATATCACTAAGTAAAATTCTGTTACTTAATATAATATGATAGAATTCTTGATTTTAAATAGTTTTTATATTAAAGACTAAATTAAATATTGGCCAAGTTTTTTTCAAGTTGAATTACAAGAAAGTAATAGTAATAAAAAAATAATTAAAATTTATGCTATTTTACAAAATAAAAAAATAAAAAGAAATAATTATTATTTATATTAATTTTATTTCATTTTTTCAAAAGAATTTGTTGAAACTCTTATTTTTTTTAGCAAAAAAATTTACTGTTTTTTCTTTTTTTGAAGCATGACTTCTAAATCCTACTTCTTATTTATAATCAAATTACTTTTTACTTGAAAATTTAATTACAGATTTTTATTTTAATTTCCTTGATTTTTTATCTTATTTTTTGAGATGCATTTGAAGTTACTTTTAAAATTTTTTCTTATATTCCAAATCATTCTACAAGAGTATTATTTAAACCATATCAAATTTTTGATTCTGCTTATTTTCATTTTCTAGATATAAGATAAAGAAATATTAGGCTATATTTAATAATTAGTGATTTTGATAATAAATTACTTCATAAATGATTTATATATGAGAGCTTTGCAATAAAAAGGAAGGAAACTCTAAAAAATTTTTTTTTGAGTTAATGTCAAATCTAAACTTATTTTATTAAAAAAAATCATAATTAGCTTAAAAAGTAAAATTTTAATTTTTTTAAAGTATCTTCCCTTTCTACTGCAAAGCTTCCCCACCCTCTCTCTCTCTTTCATATTGTGAATTAGAAAGTTAACAGCAGGTAAGATTCCTTAAAATTGAATCAAATCAAATATTTAAGCAATTTGAATTTGATTTATTTTTCAAATTGAATTTGAATCAAATTAAATTGAATTGAATTCAAATATTTGATCGAATCAATTTGTAAAGATTTGAATTTGATCAAATCAAATCAAATCAAATTAAATATTTATCAAATTAAATTAAATCAATCAAATATTTGATCAAATCGAATCAAATCAAATATAAAAATTTTAGTTTTTATAATGATATATTAAAAAAAAATTATTCTAAAGTTTTAATTAGAAAAATTATAAGTAATTACACTAAAAAATTTCAAAGATAGCTTTACAAAGTAATTTTAGTAACAGGTAAATTTTATTATTAAACTCAATAAAATAATTCTGAGTCTTAGTTTTACTAAGAAAACTTAGTAATAACTGCTATTGCAGCTTCAATTTTACTAAAAAAACTTAGTAATAACCGCTATTGCAATTTCAGTTTTACTAAGAAAACTTAATAATAACTGTCATCTCAGCTTTATAACCATTTTATTAGTAAAAAATGTTTTTGAAGCAGTGTATACATTTTTTTACTAGTTTTCTTAATAAAAAAATGTTTCTAAAACTGTGAAGGCATTCTTTATTATATTTTCTTAGTAAAATATCGTCTTCAAAGTCGTGAAGACATTTTTGCTATGTTTTTCTTAGTAAAAAAGGTATTTCTAAAGCTGTGAAAGCATATTTTGCTATATTTTTTTTAGTAAAAAAGGCATTTCTGAAGCCACAGAGGTGTTTTTTACTATAGTTTTCTTAATAAAAACTACTTCTGAAGCTTTAGAGGTGACTTTACTATTAATTTGAAACAAATCAAATATTTTGAATACTTGATTTGAATTTGATCGAATTGAATCAAACATTAATTTGGATTTGATCAAATAAATCATTCTTTGATTTAAATTTGTTTGAATCAAATTGAATATTCAAATATCAAATTAAATTGCGGAACCCTAACAGTAGGTTTTAAAAAATACTAGAATTAAAGAATTTTGGTTAAAAATAGCAGTCAATTACCACTTTTATTTAATATTATATTAGATTATATTTGGTTGCCAATTTTTAGTTATATAGTCAAAAGAAGCTTTTCTTTTTACCATACAAATTTGGATAATAATCATCAAAGTTTATCATTGAAATTTTTAAAGGCTTTAAATATGATATACTTTAATTTGAATTGATATATTTCTTATAGTTATTAATAAATATTGATTGATATTAATGCTTTTTAGCATTTATTATTTAAAAATTTTAAAAATAAATAACATAAAATTATATTTTATCACAAAAATAATTTATATTGTATTACAACAAAAAATCATTAACCCCTGATACATAGTGACTGTTATTCCTTTATAGTAAATCATATGAAGTCTGATTTTTATTGCATTTTTTAATCATTTTAATCTAACATTATTAAAAATTAAAATGCAATAAAATTATAAGAGCCCCATTTTTCTTAGCAAACCTCCTATATGATCCATAATGTGATTTTACTGGCAAATGGTAAATTCGATTTAAGGTCACGTGAAAAATGCAACATGTGCAAATGCGAATCCGTGAGCTTTACTTTAGAGGCATTATTTTTACTAAAAACATAAGCATGCCATTTATTACTTAGAAACCTTTTGATTTTAATATTCAAAATTTTTAAGTAAATCTACATAAAATATTTATAATCATCCAATCGATTCTCAAGTCTTCAAAACTACTCGCAATTAATCAATAATTATTGGGTAAAATAAAATTGTTGGTTCTTGTACCAAGTCTTATTTTATAAAATCTGTGGACTTTTTGGTCCCGTTACCAAAATCATTATTTATTAATTGTTGTTTATGCATTTAATATTATTAATTAATTCATCTATTTTCCCATTTTCTTATATTAATCTATTTTACTTATTATAAAGTCTTTGCATGTATATGAATTTTTTTTTTAATAACTTATATAATACATTGGATGTTCACATTTAAATGATTAAAATAATTGTCACAACTTTTATCAATGTAATTATTCCAATAATTCTTCATCATCGTCATCTTCATTAAGTAATTTATCATCTCTAGGAAGAGCTGAACATGAGCATACACTTTCAAGGTATCCTGGTTCATTTTCGATTTTATCATAAACCGCTTGAGCTGCTATCTTTCTTGCTGCACGAATGTTATTTGACTTCCCATGTGACACTGGCGAATCATGGATAAAAATAGTACAACGTTGAGATTCTGTTTCTTTTTCTTCGGAAGTATGATTTCTGTTATTAAAAATGAATTAATGAATAAAGAAAAATAAACCGAACCAGGTATGAAGCAAAAAAAAACAATACCTCAACAACAAGCTGGTACATCCAATTTTTTGCATATATTCTGTTAATTTCTTCACAGGATGAACTTTCAAAGTTTCAGGAGTAACGTGTACATCTAAAATGGGTTTTATCCAAATATCAAATAATCTCTGTGGCGCAGCTGGATCAAACTCTGCATCCACGAAAACAGCTCCCAACATACTTTCAACAACATCACTCATAACCTTTGGAACGTCCAAGTCGCTCCAATATTCTCCAACAGCTTCACCCTTTTGTCGTATTCCATCTACAATGTTTACAAATTCAGTCATGCCTGCCATCAACTTTGGTGAGAAATGAATAATATGTTTTTGAAGTCCAATTACTTCACAAACCGCTCCAAGAAACTGATTATTAACAGATGCGTCTTTTAGGTCTGTGATCATTCCTGGTGTCCCATTAGGATATTTTTCAAATAAATATTTGACCGTCATGAAATCCAATATAGCATCACCTAAAAATTCAAGACGTTGATAACATGAAGTTGAAGAGTTTGGTAAACTAGCATGCGTGAGTGCTTCTACAATTAAAATTTTATTTTTGAATGTATGTTCACAAATCTCTTCAACTTTTTCAATGTCCACACACTTAATAGCTTTTTGATTAACACGTGGAGGATTTTTATTCTTTTGATGAAAATGATCCCATTCTGTAATATCATCGAATGGAACTTCCACAGCCGCAGCACATTTTAGAGCAGCATCCACATTACCACTCAAATAAGCAGCACCTAACATTGCTTCTATAACATCGGCAAGGGTTTTGTCAGCTAAACCATGTCTCTTTAACTGCTCCAACATCTCAGGTTCATCAACTGTGGTAATAATGTTGGTTGGTCTCCAAGCTCTGCGATTGAATGGGAGTGACGTTATGTACTCGTAGATATGCAGTTTCTTTGCACTTCGATAAAGCTGTTTGTTACAAATAATTCTAATACGTTGGCAATGAAGCTGGCCTTCATGTTTATCAGGAAACATGACATACAACCTTATCGTAACACAAAATTTCAAGAATGAATCACCTAACGTCTCGAGACGTTCGTAATTCATTTCCATGTTAGCAGATGGAGTCGTTAATGCCACTAATAATAAGTCATCTCTAATAGGCAAATCCAATCTTAATCTTAATTCTAATACTAAAAGTTGAGAATTGATTCTAGTGAGGATAGCGGGTAGCATAAGGGCGGATCTAAATATGGAAGCAGTGATGGTATATTCTTTACAAAATTCTGGGATCACAAAGGTGGCTGTTCTACCTTTTAATGTTGGTATTGCTCCAGGTACGGGCTGTAAAAAGTTCATAACCTTTGAAATTTTACGAACTTGAAATAAAGGTTGTTCCGGATGTTTCATATCTAAGTCAAATGACTTTTTATAATATTCTGCAAAATTTTTACAACCAACTTCACGTAAGACCATTCCTTCCGGAATAGGGGACAGTGGAGAAAGGTCATATCGTATAGATTGAACAAAATAACGCCGTAAGTTGTCGGAATAATCGATTATTACAGCATCTTCCATTTCAGATACTTTATTAAGATCAATAGGTTCATGTTTTTCGTTAACAGCTCTTTCCATACTTTCCCAATCAATGAAATCAAGTGTTTGCTCGTTTATTGGCGTATTTCCAACAAGAGGTACAACAAGGTATGGGAAATTTTCGAGTTCGCAAATAAACTCTTTGTTGACTATGGAAGTAAATGTGCGCAAAGTAAATTTAAAAGCCATTTCCGTTCTTTCAAGACTGATTTTAATTGGAGTTGAATAAGGAAACACATTAAGAACTTTATTAATACCGTGGAAATATAACGTAATTGGTGGAGTTTCCGGAAATTGTTTACGTGTTAATAAACATAGAGTGCGATATGAGTATCCGTCATACTTTTCATCTTCCATATCTAACTTTAGAATAGTGCCATAAAGAACTTCTGGAACCTTGGGCTGCTCTTCTTCAATATCCCATAAGTCTGGAGATTTCAATTTATACTCTCTCTTAGATTTTTTTGCTCCTTCAACCAAACCATGTTCATCCTTGGACGGTTTTGACATTTCATGATCCTCTTCGATCCATACTTCTTCTGGTAATAGATGATCATCTAATGCCTTTTTCTCGTATAATTGTAGACAAGCCTTAAACGCTGCAGCCTTTTTTGCTTTACTTCTACTACCACAAACTTCACTGATAACTTCACGAATTGGTGCATTATTTGGTAATTTAAGATGACAAGTATATCCGGCGTATTCTTTTGTAAAATTAAAGTCCGGTTGCAACATACAATAACTGTCTGCAGGAAGCCTTGAACAATAGTAACCGATTAGCGAAACAGCTGATTCATAACTCAATAATGCCCCAGTTGACGGAATGAGATAATAATGTCCTTCTTCATCATCAGAATCATCAGAATCATCTATGTTTTCAGCCATCTGTGATTTACGATCCTCAGGAAGCTTCTGACACCAATCCTTCATATCTTTCTCAGCTTTTTTCATTTCCCTGAGTAAACCATGTTCTTTAATATTTCCACTTTCTACCATTACAATATACTTTGAATCTTTACGGCGAGCCCTGCCTCGAGATTGAATATAAGCTCTCAATGTATTAAAGAAGTCAAACCTAATATTTGTTTTAAAAATAAATTATTAATTAAACTGACTGACAAAAAAAGTTATAATAAAAAATATTTACCTAATAACGACATTGCAAGGTTGGATATCTAAACCTTCTTCAGCTACATTAGTGGCAATCAATAAATTGATTTTTCCATCGCGAAATGAGTTTATAGTTTTGTTCTGTTTCTTGAATTTCATTTGTAAATCTCCTTCTTCACTAGAACCATGCCCAACCAACACATCAGATTTTATAAAATCCAAAGTACCAATTTCTTTCATTAAATAATGCAAAACATTAGCAGTGTGACGACGTTCAACAAATACTATTCCACAAAATTCATCAGACTGTTTTTGAAAACAATCCAAGACTTTTATCAATTTTATGACCTTTGGAGATAAAATGTTAGGATCGCAAATAGGGGTGGGAAAAGACCAATCGCGGACAATTTCTAACACCTTTTGCATAAGACGTTGTTCTTCTTGTAATTCCTCATTCTTAATCAACTCTGGAGTTAATATCTTTCCATTATTTTCATTTAATTCATCCAATATATATTTCCAGACCTGATCCGAACACCAAGGGCCAAGAACTTGAAGAGCTTGAACAGCACTTCCAAACGCTCTTTGAAATTTCTCTGCGCCAAGACATTCTTTCCAAAGTAAATTGTAAAGTGTAGTTTCTTCGTATTCTGGTGGAGGGTCATATCTTATTGCTATCTCCTCGGGACGGTTGATAAATCTACGAAGTTCATCTGTATCACTAGCTGTGAATACTTTAGCATTTAGATTATGCTCAAGATGACTACTTATTTAAGTAATAATCAACGAAATCATTAACACATACAGTTAAGAGAATGTTATCAGACGATATACAAGAATTATGGTACCTGGCAGAATGAAGGGTACTACGGGTATTTACAGGAGATGCTGTCATACCGAAAATTTTTGGTCTTTGTTCTTCAGGACATCGATCATAAAACTCTCTCATAATTAAGTTATATGGATGTTTTTTCGAAGCATGATGGCACTCATCAAAAACTAATAGATTAACCTTCAGTATTCATTAAATGAAATAATTTGATTATGAGAATCTTTTTCTCCATCAAAATACTGACAAAAATCACTTAAGTCTCGGAAGATTTACCTGTGACAAGGAAATGAATCCGTGACGTAAAATATTTAAAAAAATTTGTGCTGTCATAACTAGTACATCAAAATTTTCAAAGTATATTCGCCATTGTTTTTCACTCCATAGATCGACACCCATTTCTCCACAAAAGTGCTTAACTTTTAAATCACAATTTGCTTTGATCACGTTGGCTTGTTGAAAAACCAGAGGTACGAGATTAACCAGAAAGAATGTGAGTTTGGTCTAAGAAGATAGCATATGATCATTAAAGAAAAGATAATAATATCAATATACTAATAAAAATGATAAAAACATGATCAATACCTCTCGTCTAGTCATCCTAAGCTCCCGTTCATTTGTTGCAATTTCTTTTATCAACATTACAGCAATGAAAGTTTTTCCGCTTCCAGTATCCAAAACTGCTATTACATTATCATTCTTAGCTTTTTCGTACAGCTCAATTTGATATTTACGAGCAGTTAATGCCTGAGTTACAATCTCCGGAGTAGTCGGAACATTAATTTCGTTTAATTTGGCTTTCTTATTCTTTTTTTCACCATTTTGTAATTCCGAACTATCATTATCATTATCTGAGCTAACGTCGAAAAGTTCTTCAATATTTATTGTACTAGGAGCGTTAGTCATTTTAAATAAGTTTACTTGCACCTTTAGTAAAAAGGTACTTTGAGGGACTTATATTTATATAGATTCAGAAGCGTTCGTAATAGGAAATAAAAGCAAAAATTGTAATTGTGTCCAAAAGAGAGCTTTTTGATAATCGGTTTAAACACGTGTAACCAATCGATAGGGATGGGTGTTAATTAGTTAACTGCAATTCAAAATATGCGCGCTTACTGCGACATGTCTAATTTACATAAAATATCGTTATAATTTTTTGTTATTCACCATGGCAGCCTCATGTCGTAAGCTTGCGATAAAAGATAGTTCAGTGAATTACGAAGAAAATACTATGAGGTCAAAAAAACTTATAGAATATCGTTCTCTGCCCGATGAGGTTTGGCTGGTAAATATAATAAAATTCGTTTTTTTTTTCCTCAAATTATTAAAATTATAAAAATTTGAAGATTCCTCCAAATCTTTGCCCAGTTGATATTATTGGAGAAAAAAGGTTTCATTTGCAACGTATTGAAAAATCAACTAATACAGATATGTTTTATAATAAGGATGATTCTGTAAGTGACCTTTTCTCTTTTGTAACACGTTAAAATTAATTGTATTTTTTATTTTCAGTTAATTGAAGTTTTGATCAATTCTAGAAGATCGAATTATGGGGAATACGTAAAGATCTTGATCAAGCTCTTAAACAATTGCATGTTCTTGCTGAAAACATTTTAGCGAAAGATCAAAGAGAACGTAACAAAAGTAGAGTCAATGGTTGGGTAAATCTCGAAAAGGCTCTTAACGACAAGCAAAAACATAAGTTCGATCGTGGATCAGCTCGGGAACGTGAAGAACGTGACTACAGAGGCTTTCCACCCGAACAAAAACTCTTCAATGGGCATTTTGTTCTTCCCAGTTTCGAAATACCTATCGCGCGAATTATTGGTGAAAAAGAAGAAATTTTGCATCCGATTCGTGCTGATACCAAATGCTATATGTGGTATGAACCAAGCTCTAACGTAAGTATTGTATCAATGAAATATATCACATATTTCAAATATTTAAAAATACATATTTCTTAGCTAATAAGAATTGTTGGCGATACTTATGAATCCGTTGAGGAAGCAACGATGCGAGTCAAGAACTTGTATATTAAAGTAGTCACGGTATGAATATAGCCCTTGGTTCTCACAGCATGAATTAAAAATATGGCTTACCCTTCATATTAAATTATTAGTCGAGACAAATTCCTCGCGTTATTAAGGATGGAGCGACCATATATAATGGCTGGATATACCATTTGGTTGAACCACCACATGAACCTTGTGAAATTCGAATAGCCAATCCACCATCTTGGTTCTATTTCCCATACGATGTTAATGGGGTGGTTAAACTTATTGAACCAGTTTACAAAGGGGAAAGTATTTCGGTTGTTGGTAAAGAAGGAGCTTTAAAGAAATTAAATCCAAACTCTTATTTCGATGCTCTACAAAGGTGAGTTCTTTAAATACTGACACGCTTCATATTTTATAAATATAATGAATATTAATTTCATTAAATATTAGCATCCGTGAGTCAAATGTTAGAACAATCAAGTCTGCTCTTTCTAAAGCCTTTATTACCATCCATTTATTAGATGAAATAACTAAAATGCGTGTTAGGTACCATATATAATTATTTTTTAGACTTGTTTGTCATTAAGATATTTCCCGAATAACGATCATATCCAGGTTTGGTTATGTGTGTTTAACAGATTTTCCTAGGGAACCATTATGGTCTATTGATAAATTTAACAAGAAAATTCTGTATGATTCTCGTTTACGATCTAAATTTGCTAAATGGTAATTATATTTAATATTAAGTTGAGCTTTATTTTTACAAAACTTTTAACCTGAATCTTTTCAGTATTGCCACCGAACACAAAAAACTCGATCCTTTATTCGAAATTCTTTCCGAGTACGATCAGCAATGGGATGGTTCACCGTTTCGAGAATTTAAAATTTGTACAATTCATAAAATCCAAAAAGGTCGCGATCAAGAAACTTTGCCATGTACGTTTGAGATCCAATTTACGAATGATGAGAAAATTGGATCATGGAACGTTACTACGAATGAAAAAAACATATTAGACATCAACATGTCATGTTTAGATACGTTGGTATTAATTTAATGTGTAAATCTTATTACAATTAAAATATTTCGTTATTTGAAATAATTTTTTTTTTTAAAAAAAAATATATATATATTTAGAGTCTATTCTTGGAAATTAAATATCAAAACGGCAAAATTCCTTTCTAATGACAAGTTTAGTGCCCAAAGAGTTTTTGTTTATAAATTGCGAATTAAGTAACTATATAATTTTTGTAGTTATTTTAATAACCAAATTTCTTTTAAAGAATGCTAATTAATTCAAATGATAATGATGATGATAATATAGCCCACAAAATCGGTTAGTTTATTCAAACACAGAAGAAATAAATGTAGTTTCAATATGTGAAAAAACTCGATGGAAATATTGGTGGGGCACAAATTATATTATAGAAGTTACAAAGTATGAATTTTGGAAATTATCAAAATATATGGATGATCTCCCAGGAGTTGAAATTCCTTTGGATCAAGAACCTCCGTTCAGTGTTACCTTTGGAGTTTCTGTAAGTAAATTTCTTTATTATTTTTATTATTTCTTTCTATGAAAATGATTTAAATTCTTATTCAATGTTATCGTTATCAAGTTTTATAAGAAATCTTGGGAAGAAGATTTTGCTTTTAACGGCAGTTTAAATGTTGGTGAAGCGCCTGAGTGGCACCCTTATGATATTATGGATGAAGAGCAAACTGGAGGCGTTAACGATTTCATGAATGAAATCCGAAATTTCTTGGAAGTACTACTTTTAATACCAACCGAAAGAAACAATCATTCATATTAATTATTTTCGAGATTGTAATAAGAAATGTTTCTACTGCGGATTGAATATATGATAACTTTTCAAAATCGATTCGATTTTTTTTATAATAGTAATAATATGATAGATAATAAGTAAGTAATATCAAAAGCTACATTAATTAATTATCTGATATCTACAGTAATTTATTAGATTGATATCGATACCCTTTTTTATCTTTATTATATAATTTTTTCCGTTTCGTTTCTCTATAAAATAACTTTTTTTATAAATAGAATATAAACCATTAAAAGTAACAGTAATCATTTTAATTAATATCTAGTTCTAATCAACGTTGGTTTCCAATCAATAGGATGAGTTTCCGGGGTCTAAAAAACAATAAAAAATAAATGATAGGTATTCACCATTTGTTAAAATAAAAGAAATGAAATGTTACCGCGCTAGAATCTTCTTTCCAAATTTTAATGGTTTTATCAGCTTCACATGTAATCAATCTTAGTCCGGTACGGTCAAAAGTACTAGCGAATATACCAGCTTCAGATTCCAAAGAACCTGGTTGTACAGTTGTGTCCAAGGATTGGAATTTATATGCCGATCTCCAATCCCAAAATGCCATCGATCCATTATCAGCTTTATATAATTTTTTTATTTCAAAATAAAAAGATGAGATTAACAAAATAAAAAGGTTTTTTAACAAATAATTTTACATACCACCAGAGAATAAAACATTATCGGCATTAACAGCCATAGCGTTAATAATAGCACGATGTCCTTCAAAGTTTTGCATAAAAGTTCCCTCAGGACATTTCCATTGTTTAATATTGTCAGCACTACCACTAGCAAATGTAAATTCTTTTGGATGTATAGCTAAAGCTCTAACGGATTTCTTATGATGAGTGAGAGTTGCCAAAGTTTTTCCTGCTGCTAAGTCCCAAAGTCTAATAGTTGAATCCATTGATCCCGTAAGGATTTGTGGATCTGCCTCTTGACATTTTACATCTGCTACAGTCGAATTGTGTCCACTTAATACATGAATACACTGCTTTGTACGCATATCCCACACTCTTGCGGTAGCATCTCTTCCCGCAGTAGCCAAAATATCTAACGTAGGATGTAAACTCAAAGAATATACACCAGACAAATGACCATGATAATGTCGTATGACCTTATTTTGTTCAAGATCCCAACATTTAACCATTTTATCTTCTCCACAAGAAAATAAGTATGGATGTCGCGGCGAAACAGCTAAACCACGAACCGTCGAAATGTGACCTGTAAGGGTAAGTTTCAACGTGCCGGATGCAAGATCCCAAATCTAGTAGTTAAAAAAAAATCTAATTGTTTTAAATTTTATAATTCGATTATACAAAATAAATATCTTTATTACCTTTATAGTTCTATCACCAGCACCCGTCGCAAACCATTTATTTCCCGGTTCTACAGCTACTGAGCGAACCCATCCTAAATGACCACTTATTACTCTCATCAATTTCCAGGGGGCATGCCAATCCGGACGTTGTGCTCTTGGAGTTTGACGTCTTACCAAAGATCCTGAAGTCGCAAACGGTGTTGCATTAATACCAGCCCTTTGTCTGATAGCTACTACACCATGTGCAGTCTTAGCAGCTTCTTTTCTATATAACATTTAAGTTAATGAATATATATTATAAAATTTACAGATATATCAAATTACAACTTACTGAACACGCGAAGGTGGAAGATTATCAACCAATTTTTGTATAGTATTAGCCGAAACTTGTCCTTCAACCGCGTTATCTTCAGAAAGCGATACCCCTAAATAGATTTTTTACTAATTTTAGAGTTTACCTGACAAAAACAAGTTTATATAAAATACATTACAAATTTGAAGTTAATAACAAGCCTGGTGCAGAAGGAAAGGCATGACCTCCAGCGAATTGAGGTAAATGCTCATTATTATCTACTTGCATAGTTTCTGAAGTACTATCGTTAGCTGGGGTGGAACTGTCTGTTTCTAAAGGTCTTTTCTTTCCTCTACTTTGTTGCGCTAATAAAGAGGCAGGTAACTGTTGAACATCGCCGTATTCGTCGTTAAGTTTTACCCGTAACTTGATCCGTTGACTATATTAAAAAATGATTTGTTTTAGAAGTTAGAAAGTGTATAAAAAGTGGTTAAAAGTTGAATAACTTCTATATATATGAAATCCTCCACCAGTCATTAAAAACCTTTCGTCATCCTCAAGAAGAAAATTAGGAGTACTAGAGCAGAATTGAAACATTGCCCTTGTTCGCTTTACAGATCGTTGTAATAGTTTCTCCAAATCTGGAAGCGAATTAGTGTTGAATCGTTCATTTACGATTTGTGTTGAACTGTCAGCCATTTCGTGATTAAAATAAATTGATTGAGATTTCGGTTTTATATTTTAAATATTAGAGCTGTGGCGCAGAAGTTTACTGCCGATCATTTGCATAACTAAAGCTTTAACAGAATTAGGCGCTGACTCAAAAAATGTCACGAAATGTGGCGTGTGGCTTTTAATTTTCCCGGTAACGTTAATCGTACTTTTTTACTTTAAAGATAAGGGAGGAGGTTATTTACCATTGTATTATATTGTTTTGGTGGATTATTACATAGAAAAAAGAAATAAAGAATGCAAAGATTTACGAGAAAATTTGTTAAATTTTAAATCTATAAGATATAATATACAATGTTTTGTTTTTATTAATTTATAAATGCAATGTTATAGTTTAAATTATTTAATAAAATAAACTTTCGCAATTTTTTTTTTTTTTCATTCTTTCTTTCGTTATCAATTATTTCTTTGTTTAAATAATGAAATCAAGAAGCAACATAATAAGGTAAATAATTTTAACTATTTAAATATTATTTATATAAATATTAAAACATATATTTTATTTTTAGAGAAGTTATGTATTACCTACTTAAGAAGAAGTTTCAAAATGATTCTCTAAATCGTTGGTTTAATGAGCATTCTGTTGCTAAAGGATTGAATTTACTTAATAGAGAACAATTTCCTGATCTTTATCTTATAATTGATGGAAAATTAAAAAGTTTACAAGATGCTGGTAAAGGAGAAATAAAAAAGAGTGATGGATTAGAATATGAAGAAGTTCAGGCTATGCATCATCAGTTTTATCATGCAAAACTCCACAGGGATTATTAAAAAGAATTTTTTTTGTATAATTTCATTTTACTTGGACTTAGAATTGGAAAACATTACAAATTAAAATTTCAAGATTTTTTATCTCAGTATAATAATAATAGATTTGATGTATTGATTTGTTAATCTAAAACCAATCAATGTGAAGTAGGAGGAGGAAATATGAAAAATTAAGAATTTCATATAATCCATTAATTCAAGCTGATTATAAATTATATTTTTCTAAAAGACAGTAAAAGCAAAGAATAATTTTTTATTTACAAGAATACATTAATCAAGATGGTATAATAAGTGATATAAGCTTCAACTAATAGGTGAAAATTATTTATGAAACATTTTAAAAAATATTGTTATGAATGTGGAATTAACTTAAATGAGTGAAAAATAACAAAGTATAGTTTAAGATGTACAATGGTTCAGTTTTTAAAGGTTGGAAATTTTTAGATGAAGAATTAATGTTCTCATCATATCATAGATCTTTAGTAGAATTGTATGCTTATGAGCAGTCAAAAGAAAAATTACAAGAATAAATAAGCAACAAAATTCAGAAATATATTTGTAGAGTTCAGGTGTTCATAAATTTTTTAACTATTAGCTGTATATATGGATTTTCTATAAGGTCAGTACTATACATGAAGTCGAAATGAAAACCCAAAAGTCGAAATGTTTCGACTTTGGAGGTCAAAGTCGAAATGAAAAGT